TGTGCAAACGATGGGATGTGCACATTGTAAAAATATCAATTAACATGTTGCAAACTACTTATCACCGAAAAATTAAGTTGCCACTAAAAAGTTAAGACGAAACTGCAATGTCTTAGTTATACTCAATCATATTAAACACAGTACAACAACTTATATATTGGGCGGTAGCGAAGCACGTCAAGAGCCGCCGGCTTTTCCCGCCATTTATTCTTCATAACTAATATGAACTTTCACTTTACAATTTAAATTTAAAACAATTGTATTAATTATTTGCAAAAAATAACTCGTAGCTTGTATTCTCATCAAGTTATTTTATGCTGTATCATTCTGGGAGTGTGTAATCGAAAATTACGCCCACAAATTATACAAACTAAACCGGACCTAGCCAAAATTGTTTGTAATATTACACACTTGTATTAAAAGGAACTTCGATTCCCTTACCCATAAACACAGGTCCAGGGGTTAATTCTGTTTGTTATTACCATTTGTACAGTGTTTGTTTTAACACAACTGTTTACAACATGCACTCAAGGCCTGCAATAAAAATCACCTCATTCAACAACCGCTTACTGTTGATTGCATACCGAGCCATTCTGGAATCTTTGTGAAACCATCACTCTATACCGTCACTTACAATGTGTATCATTTATAAAATAAATGAACTTGGAAAATTAATATAAATTCACTTCCTCGGAGAAACGCGACGTCCAGGAAAAAACAGAGATAAAATTTTTAAAATTCTCTGAAAACATTCAACGCTCTCCTCCATGAAGGTGTTTGGACTTCACCTGAATGTCAAATTATAAATTAATATCAAATTTTTTAAACTAACGAGGTGGATCTTGTGAAGTGCTTTGCGAGAACTGGCTTTCTTTTATCCCTCCTCCTTATTGATACTACTCACTGATCTCATTACGTAACACCTTTTTTACTAATCACCTGGTACGCATTACATGCGTTGCCCGAATTCCAAAGACAATTATTTCCCGCTATACTTCGAACCGCGGGAAATGGGTAGTCTTAGTTATATTCAATCATATTAAACACAGTACAACAACTTATATATTGGGCGGTAGCGAAGCACGTCAAGAGCCGCCTAATAGACCAAAAGAACATCCCAAATCAAGTGTTACCTATGGATAAAGCATTTCATTACAGATAAAAATGCATTATATGAAATTTGAGCTATCATATTTTGACAGTTACAAACCAAGATCTTGAGTAACTTCCAAACGCTTCTGGAGCGAATCAGCTATGTAACCATCCTTACTTTCATCCCTCTGCTATCTTCCATGTCTTCTTAGACACCTATCACTTAATTTGGTTATTGGCTGCTGTTGTAGCACCCCCTGACCTGAGTGAATGTAGGCCAAGATTCATACCGGGGTGCAACGGCCGTAAGCATTTTGAGGATTGTCTCTCTGGCAATCTTTAGAAATAAGTTTAGTGACATTCTTGGATCTGTTTAAACAAGAAATGATATGAATCTGACATGTATCTCAACAACATACGGTGAGGACATGCCGACGTAGAACCCTTGGCAATAATAACTTCGTTGCCTTGCCTAAGTTGATCTGTTTTACTTTTCTTAATATTGATGATAAGGTAATCAAGATGAATAACCACTTCATTACATCGAATTGAACTTAGTTCATCATATTGCAAAAAACCCGCAAAAGCTGTTGCAATCATACACAATGTTCTGATTTCAATTGGATCATTACTATTTGTTGCATAGTTCGATGATTATATCAGCTGTAACTGCATCCTTTTTGATGACTTTGTGGCCAGTGGTCCGTTTCGCTGACTCGTGCAGATTCCGGACGAAGGCGTTGCCCGTAGGATCCGGTAAGCCATTCATGTCGTGTGCCCATTTGATTGCTTTAACTGCCGATGAGATGACGTTATGAGACAAGCCTCCGTCTAGAAGTTTTGTCAAAGTAAACTGCTACATGAAAAGGCTCTGCTCGGATCTCTTAGAAGCTGTTCTGGTGACAAAAGCTTGTCCATCGTTTGAAAGGCTCCGTAGTACTTGGCGACAGTATTGTCGCTCCTGGCTGCTAGTAGATGAACACACATCCTCTTCTGAACACACATTACTTCTGTTCTTTAGTGAAATACTCTCCTATCTGTCAGATTACGTTCAAAACAAAATGCAAACCTATCAAAGTGAACTTCAATGGGTTTTCTGAGAAAATCCCAAACTTGCTGCAACTTTTGAGTAATAACATTCTGCTGTGGCAATATTTTGCTTTCTTTGACGGAGTCAAATCGTTTACAATGCGTGGTTAAATTCGTTGCAAATCTATCTATTGTATAAGGGCCCCCCATACTGTGTCCAAATGGTTGAAAATATTTACATCGATTTGCCAATCATCGCTATCCTTAATTCGGCTCAGTGTATCAGCTTTCACATTATCCGTTCTTTTAATCCACTCAGGCTGAATATTAATCCCTTCCTTTTTTACATGTATCATGTATGCTCAAAGCAATATGTTGCAAGTCCGGTTTCTTGCTGCCAGACTTTACGATTATCTTCACATTTTTATTGTCAGTGAACCTTCTAACCTTCTTATTTTGCAAAATTTGAACATTGCTCTTAAGAACTCTATGTACTGTTTCAGCCTCTCTCCAACTGGAGCTTTGCTGAGCCTCATCATGGTTTCATGAACCAATCACTTCCGTTCCTTCAGCCAAGGCTCCCGCACACAGGGAAGCATACCCGCCGTATCCGTATCCGGATGCGTCACTAAATGCTTCAATTTCATATACATCTTTGTACTCTATGTTAAACCCTTTATCATTCAGGTTCTTGACTTCATTATTCCAAAATTTGATTTATTTTTATGCCTCATCATCTATCAGAACAGGTGCATTCCAACTGGCTCTAGCATCTTTGCATCGATATAAAGCTCTGGTCTTTTAATCTTGCAATTTTACCAACTGCATGTATCAAAGATATTATCTGGCCAACAACAGAGGCCAAAAATCTGGCTGCGACCAGACTACTCTTACTCATATCTATCCTTACTTTAATTCCAGGAATCTCTGTCTGTCTGTCTGTCCGTCTGTCTGTCCGCCGATTATCTCTAGAATCGGGTACCGTATGAAGTTGAAAATCGGCGGGTGTGTTGCTCGGGACAACAGGATGTGCAGTGCCAAGTTTGAATGGGTTTGGACCAACGATTGTCGAAAAAGCTGCAAAAAACAGTATTTTCTGAGGCCTAGCGCGCCAGAATATAGCCTAGAACCCGGCGCGCACTGATGTTCTTTTCAATTGTTTACGTCATGTTTGAACAAGAGCGCGCGTGCTTAATATGACGCAACAATGAAAAAAAGGACGGGCACATTGTAGGGCGATAGCGCTGCATACCATGTCTTCGTACGTGAGTGGCATGCACGGGGCACATGCATTTTGTAGTCAACTGAGCAACCATCACTGCAATGTATGTAGGCGGTCGACTGAGCAACTGTAATACAATATGGTATCGCCCTACAACTACGCCCTACAGTTGTAGGGCGATACCATATTGTCCAGTAGGGGTAAATATCAGTGCCAATGGGGTGACGACATTTTGTGCGTTTAACTTGCGAGTGTGCGTTCACACCATTGAATAATGTGCGTTGTTTGCACGAGCTGCAGTTCTCAACTGCCTTTTCCGAACACGCACATTTTCGACTGGCCCTGCACTAGTTTGTTTAATCAGTGAAACAAGAGCAGTTTCCACTCTTTCTATTCATGTATCCGTTGCATGCAACATGCCTGTGGACATAGACCACTTGAACCCCAACCACTGTGCAACCTGCGAAGGTTCCCAAACACACTTCTCATGAGCTATCAAAAAACCTAGATTTTGGAGTGATGATTGAATTTCTTTGCTTGAATTTACTGCATCTTTAAAGTTACTGTAACCGCAAAGGCCGTCGTCTTAAAACATGAAGACTTTTGTGACCTTTTGACATCCACCAGGAAATGACTACTTTCATCATCTTGGTGAAAATGAATGGTGCGGTGGCTAATCCAAAGGGCAAAACATTGAATTGGTACAAACACGTTTTGTCAGCGTTGTTCCAAGAAAAACCCAGATATGTCTTGTGACTAGGGAATATTTCAATATGGTGGTAGGCGGATTTGAGGTCAAATGTGAATAGAAAATCTCCTTGTTGAAACATCTGTTTAGCTACTGAAACGTCTTCATATTTAAACTTGAACTGTGCAAGATAAGGATTCAAATCCCTGCAATCCAAAACTAATCTCGCCTTATTCTTTTTTCCAAAGGCAACCGTCAAAGTATTCACACAAGTTGGTTTTTGATCAAGCTCCGAAATACAACCTTTGTCCTTGTGCTTTTTGATTTCGTCTGCAACAAACAAACTGTAATCCAATGCTGACCGGTTGTTTTTCAAATGAAATGCATCTGGAAGCGTTTTGAAAGGAATAATATACCCATTCTTTATAACTGATATGATGTGAGCATTAATACTGGCTTTTTCCCAATGATTCAGTGAATTTCTTAATCGACCAATCGTTGAAACTTGTGCATTATGCTCGTCTTTTTTTATCATCGGCTAAGTCTTGCCTGAAAACCAGAGGTTTTACATTCAGAGAAAACCAAACGATCACTTATCTTATCGGCGGCCTTTGCCGTCCCTCCTCCTTATTTATACTACTCACTGATCTCATTACGTAACACCTTTTCTACTAACCACCTGGTACGCATAACATGCGTTGCCCGAATTCCAAAGACAATTATTTCCCGCTATACTTCGAACCGCGGGAAATGGATATTAACATGCTTTGGCCCACGGCCTATAATTCCTCCCCACTAATTAAATAACAGAGTCCTGTGTACCACAAGTAAAGATAAAGCCAAAATGACATTATTAGTGGATCACCTCACTTCTGTGGGTGGGGGAATCATCGTCATAAACGGGCGTACTCACTTTTTAGCTGCAATTGGACAGAATTTTCACGTTTTCTCACGGTATTTACTTTTTAGGTGTCCAAGCCCTATCAAGGCACCCCTGGCTGTGTGTTCCTGACTAATCTTCCAAACTATGCAATCGTTGCGGCAGGAGACGCATTCACACATTCAAACCTGGATGGCTGCATTTCATCTGCAGAGACCACATGTGAAAGACTAATGGAATATTTATCAGATTCTAACCAGTTGTGAGTCTCCTGGTAAATAATAAGTCGGCCTGGTTTTGATACTGAATTTTATGGAGATTAAAGCCCGAGTCCATCATTTGCAGCAATTCAAAACAATTCGAAACATGATTTAGCAACTTTTGATTTTGAAGTGAGATCCAAGAATGCTGTTTTTCTCGGAAAATGAAGCTGAAGCTGAGCTGAAACTCCATCAGGTAAGTTGTTCACTACCTTCATTAGATTTTGAACACTTTTGTTGCTTCAAACGAACAAAATGCACTAATTACAAATGATGGACTATAGCTTTAAGTCAGAGGTAAAGCCTAAAGCCTTCAAACGTTCCGTAAATTACAATATAATTTGTTAATGCGAAACTGTATATGCAAATAGATTGTCAACCTCGTCCCCAGTGCTTACTTTATTTCCAACCGCGTTTCCAATAGTAAAGCAGGTAGTGGTGGGCGCGTACTGCTCGACACCCTGGGGACGAGGTTGATAGATTGTATAATTTTCCTTAATAATCCACAATCATTTGATAACTTTTTTCAATAAGTATGCCAAAGATTGATAACCATTTTGCGCTCTGTAATTCAAAAAATTGTTGCTTTTGTTATAAATATTTGTAGGTAATAAACTAATTATTTTTTTTTCATGAGATTATCGATTGAAAAAAATATAAAAATATGAACATGTATCAAATTTCCATTTATTTGCGACCCATAATTTGTTAAAAATCTTTCATGGTGTAGACTGGTTGGAGATGGAATGTAGGACTTTACTAGTGTAAATTGTATTGCTGATCTGTCTACGGGCAAAGAGGAACCATTCAAAACTGTCCCTTTGATGCGCTTCCGGTTCACTCATTTACAAGTAAAACATTTTAATTCTGACGATACCACCTCAGTAACAAAAATAAAGACACCGGACTGATACTGTTCACGCCCAAAGTCAGCAAGCCAACTTAGGAATAGCAAACGGGAGATCAACTTAAGATATATTTTTTTACAAATTACAAATCGAACCAATAAGGGAAACTGACTAGGCTGTGTTTTAAATGAAAATTTTATACCAATGTAAGGGAATAAAAATCGAAACTACCAAAAACTCTTATTTGGATTTGATTTGCTTGAGCCTTCTGTCCGCAGTATATCTTACATTCATAAATACCTCAGACAGTTTAGCCATTCCTATTGGTCGAGAGCCCGTCACGTGGCCGGTATTAAACGGATGATAAAGACATGGCTAGCTGGTCTTAAACACTTTTCCAGGGTCACAATAAAATGTGGACTCCTAAAAATCCAGTGCCTCTGATCGTTTCATTGGTTGAACGTTCACAATCCTCACGTAGGCAATGCGCAACACTACCAGGGAGTTAGAATTTTATAGTTCTAAATTCAAAACGCAACGCGCCAGGTGCGTTCTGCGCGACATTGCATAGAACATGATACGCGCGCGTCAATCTCCATAAAAGGGTTGTTTTTATCTTACTCGCCAGCTGAACACTCCATTATTTTGCAGGAGGGGTGATTCCAAAAGCATAAAGTGAATTTGTTGAACAAAATCGGGATGTTTTGAACGAATTATATGATTTTTTTTTACCGAAAAGGTATTGATGAATGGGAATAAATATGTACTCCGTCGGTATTTATCACTCTGTTTAATACCACTTAGAGTCTGGGTGCTGATAATTACCCTCGCCTCCGGCTCGGGTAATTATCAGCACCCAGACTAGAGTATTAAACAGAGTGATAAAAACCTCCGGAGCACACATTTATTCCCTTATTATTAATTAGGCTTGATTTTTTTTTCAAATTTTTTTTTTTTTTTTAAATTTTTTTTATTGGTAGATATATCACTGTAGTGATATCACTACAGTGATATCTACCAATAAAAAAATTGAAATGTTTGATTGGGGATCCCGCTGATTCTTTAACCGAAACCTGTTCAGTTTTATAACTACAAATCGAACATCTATACAGGGTGGTAAAACGAAAAAAGCCGAAACGGCATACTCAAACCAATTGATGGATACCAAAATCTCCCGATTCAGTTCAGTAGTTTTTGCTGCAGGGCCTATTATTGGGAGTTCTTGGACAATTGTGGAGTTCTTTTGCAGTTGCTGGGAAGGCGATGGGCAGTTGTTGGTGAGTTCTTGGGCATTTGTTGAGTTGGGGAGGTGTTGGGAAGTTGGGGATTTCTTTGGCAAGTTGTTGGGCAGTTGTAAATCTGTTTGGAAGTTGTTGGTAAGGCAATGTTGGGCCGTTGTTGGCGAGTTATTGAGGAGTTTTGGGGCAGTTGTTGAGGAGGTGTAGGTAGGGAAGGTGAGGGGCAGTTGTGAAGTTCTTGGGGAAGATGTAGAGAAGGTGATGGGCATTTGATTGTGAGTTATTGAGGAGTTCTAGGGCATTCGTTAAGGAGGTGTAAGGTAGGTGATGGGTAGTTGTGACGTTCTTGGGCAGTTTGGCTTCTAGGGAAGGTGATGGGCATTTGTGGGTGATTTCTTAGGCAGTTGTGGAGTTGCTAGGTGTTGGGCGGTCGTTTGGCTGATGTTTGGTAGTTATTAAGGAGTTGTTGGGGTGTGTTGCGTAATCTGTTGCATAGTTTTTGGGAAGTTTGGAAGTTTTTATAAGTTGGGACAGTTGTTGGGGAGTTGTAGGGACCGTAGCTGCCATAGCAGCTGCTGCGGAGTTTTTCGGGCGGTATTGGGCAGTTGTGGTGTTGTTGAGAAGTCTTTGGACAGTTAAAGAGCTGTTAATGTGGTAGTTGTTAGGCAAGTATTGGGCTGTTGTTGAAGAGGTTGTTCACAACTGCCCAACAACAGCCCGAGAACTTCACAAATCCCCAAACCTCCTCTACCCCTTCCACAAAACTTGCCCATCACCTTCCCAACAACTGCCAAAGAACCCTTCAACAGCTGCCCAAAACCTCCCCAACAACTTCCAAACGACTTGCCCAACTCCTCCCCAACAACTGCCAATACCTCCTCAACAATTGCCCAACAACATCCCAACACCTCCCCAACAACTTTCCAAGAACTCACCCAACAACTGCCCATTACCTTCTAAACAAACAGTTGTTGGGAAGTTGGTGAGTACTTGGGCAGTTGTTAAGTTGGACAGTTGTTGGGGACGTGTTGGACAGTTTTTTGGGAAGGTGATGGGCAGTTGTTGGGAAGGTGGTGGGCAGTTGTTGGGAAGGTGGTGGGCAGTTGATGGGAAATTGTTGGGGAGCTTTTGGGGAGTTGTTGGGAAGGTGATTGGGCAGTTGTTGAGTAGGACAGTTGTTGGGGAGTTCTTGTTGAGATGCTGGACAATTGTTGGGGAGGCGTGGAACAGTTGTTTGGAAAAGTGATGGGCAATTTTTAAGTTGGACAGTTGTTGGGGACGTGTTGGACAGTTGTTGGGGAAGGTGATGGGCAGTTGTTAGTGAGTTCTTGGGGGAGCAGTTGTAGAACTTTGTATATCGCAAAACCTCCCCAACAACTCCTCAACAACGTTCCAACTTCCAAGCACCTCAGCAAGAACTGCAAGGCAATTGCCCATCACCTTCTGTTACAGCTTAACAACTGCCCAATAACTGCCCAACACCTCAACAACAACTCCCCAATACCTCCGCAAGAACTGCCCATCACCCGCCCTAACAACTCCCAAACAACTGCAAACGAACTCCCCATTAAGTGCCAAACACCTCCCAACACTACCCAACAACGCCTCAACAACTGCCCCCAACAGCTCCCGAAAACCTCCCAACAACCGCCCGTCACATTCCCTACGCCTCCCAACAACTGCCAAACAACTGCCCAAGAACTTCACAACGTACAACTGCCCTTGGAGATGTGTTGGGCAGTTAGCCAACATCCCCAATAACTCCCAACAACTGCCCAAGAACTCCACAACAGCTGCCCAACAATTCCCCTAAACCTCCCCAACAACTGCCCATCATCTTCCCTACACCTCCCAACAATTGTAAAACACCTCCCCAAGAACTCCACCACAACAACTGTCCAACACATTCCCAAGAACTCCTCTCAATAATCCCTAACAAGCCCATGAACTCCCCATCCACCTACCCTACACCTCCCAACAACTGTCAAACCCTTCCCCAAGAACTCCTCAACAGCTGCCAACATCTCCCCAACAACTGCCCCATCACTTTCCCTACACCTCCCAACAACTGCCCATCACTTTCCCTACACCTCCCAACAACTGTCAAACACCTCCATACTGCCCAGCAATTCCCCTAAACCTCCCCAACAACTGCCCATCATCTTCCCTACACCTCCCAACAACTGTAAAACACCTCCCCAAGAACTCCACAACAACTGTCCAACACATTCCCAAGAACTCCTCTCGATAACTCCCTTACAAGCCCAAGAACTCCACAACAGCTGCCCAACAATTCCCCTAAACCTCCCCAACAACTGCCCATCATCTTCCCTACGCCTCCCAACAACTGCCCAAGAACTTCACAACGTACAACTGCCCTTGGAGATGTGTTGGGCAGTTAGCCAACATCCCCAATAACTCCCAACAACTGCCCAAGAACTCCACAACGGCTGCCCAACAATTCCCCTAAACATCCCCAACAACTGCCCATCATCTTCCCTACGCCTCCCAACAACTGCCAAACAACTGCCCAAGAACTTCACAACGTACAACTGCCCTTGGAGATGTGTTGGGCAGTTAGCCAACATCCCCAATAACTCCCAACAACTGCCCAAGAACTCCACAACAGCTGCCCAACAATTCCCCTAAACATCCCCAACAACTGCCCATCATCTTCCCTACACCTCCCAACAACTGTAAAACACCTCCCCAAGAACTCCACAACAAGTGTCCAACACATTCCCAAGAACTCCTCTCAATAAATCCCTTACAAGCCCAAGAACTCCACAACAGCTGCCCAACAATTCCCCTAAACATCCCCAACAACTGCCCATCATCTTCCCTACACCTCCCAACAACTGTAAAACACCTCCCCAAGAACTCCACAACAACTGTCCAACACATTCCCAAGAACTCCTCTCAATAACTCCCTAACAAGCCCAAGAACTCCACAACAGCTGCCCAACAATTCCCCTAAACCTCCCCAACAACTGCCCATCATCTTCCCTACACTTCCCAACAACTGTAAAACACCTCCCCAAGAACTTCACAACAACTGTCCAACACATTCCCGAGAACTCCTCTCAATTACTCCCTAACAAGCCCATGAACTCCCCAACCACCTACCCTACACCTCCCAACAACTGTCAAACCCTGCCCCAAGAACTCCTCAACAGCTGCCAACACCGCCCCAACAACTGCCCATCACTTTCCCTACACCTCCCAACAACTGCCCATCACTTTCCCTTACACCTCCCAACAACTGTCAAACACCTCCACAACAACTGCCCAACAATTACCCTAAACCTCCCCAACAACTGCCCATCATCTTCCCTACACCTCCCAACAACTGTAAAACACCTCCCCAAGACCTCCCCAACATCTGCCCATCATCTTCCCTTCACCTCCCCACAATTGTAAAACACCTCCCCAATAACTCCCAACAACTGCCCAAGAACTCCACAACAGCTGCCCAACAATTCCCCTAAACATCCCCAACAACTGCCCATCATCTTCCCTACACCTCCCAACAACTGTAAAACACCTCCCCAAGAACTCCACAACAACTGTCCAACACATTCCCAAGAACTCCCCTCAATAACTCCCTTACAAGCCCAAGAACTCCACAACAGCTGCCCAACAATTCCCCTAAACCTCCCCAACAACTGCCCATCATCTTCCCTACACCTCCCAACAACTGTAAAACACCTCCCCAAGAACTCCACAACAACTGTCCAACACATTCCCAAGAACTCCTCTCAATAACTCCCTAACAAGCCCAAGAACTCCACAACAGCTGCCCAACAATTCCCCTAAACCTCCCCAACAACTGCCCATCATCTTCCCTACACCTCCCAACCACTGCCAAACACCTCCCCAACAACTGCCCAAGAACTCCACAACGTACAACTGCCCTTGGAGTTGTGTTGGGCAGTTGACCAACATCCCCAATAACTCCCAACAACTGCCCAAGAACTTCACAACAGCTGCCCAACAATTCCCCTAAACCTCCCCAACAACTGCCCATCATCTTCCCTACACCTCCCAACAATTGTAAAACACCTCCCCAAGAACTCCACCACAACAACTGTCCAACACATCCCCAAGAACTCCTCTCAATAACTCCCTAACAAGCCCATGAACTCCCCATCCACCTACCCTAAACCTCCCAACAACTGTCAAACCCTTCCCCAAGAACTCCTCAACAGCTGCCAACACCTCCCCAACGTACAACTGCCCTTGGAGATGTGTTGGGCAGTTGACCAACATCCCCAATAACTCCCAACAACTGCCCAAGAACTCCACAACAGCTGCCCAACAATTCCCCTTAACCTCCCAACAACTGCTCATCATCTTCCCTACACCTCCCAACAACTGTAAAACACCTCCCCAAGAACTCCACAACAACTGTCCAACACATTCCCAAGAACTCCTCTCAATAACTCCCTAACGAGCCCATGAACTCCCCAACCACCTACCCTACACCTCCCAACAACTGTCAAACCCTTCCCCAAGAACTCCTCAACAGCTGCCAATACCTCCCCAACAACTGCCCATCACTTTCCCTACACCTCCCAACAACTGTCAAACACCTCCACAACAGCTGCCCAACAATTCCCCTAAACCTCCCCAACAACTGCCCATCATCTTCCCCACACCTCCCAACAACTGCCAAACACCTCCCCAACAACTGCCCAAGAACTCCACAACGTACAACTGCCCTTGGAGACGTGTTGGGCAGTTGACCAACATCCCCAATAACTCCCAACAACTGTCAAACACCTCCACAACAGCTGCCCAACAATTCCCCTAAACCTCCCCAACAACTGCCCATCATCTTCCCTTCACCTCCCAACAACTGTAAAACACCTCCCCAAGAACTCCACAACAACTGTCCAACACATTCCCAAGAACTCCTCTCAATAACTCCCTAACAAGCCCATGAACTCCCCATCCACCTACCCTACACCTCCCAACAACTGTCAAACCCTTCCCCAAGAACTCCTCACCAGCTGCCAACACCTCCCCAACAACTGCCCATCACTTTCCCTACACCTCCCAACAACTGCCCATCACTTTCCCTACACCTCCCAACAACTGTCAAACACCTCCACAACAGCTGCCCAACAATTCCCCTAAACCTCCCCAACAACTGCCCATCATCTTCCCTACACCTCCCAACAACTGTAAAAACACCTCCCCAAGAACTCCACAACAACTGTCCAACACATTCCCAAGAACTCCTCTCAATAACTCCCTAACAAGCCCAAGAACTCCACAACAGCTGCCCAACAATTCCCCTAAACCTCCCCAACAACTGCCCATCATCTTCCCTACACCTCCCAACAATTGTAAAACACCTCCCCAAGAACTCCACCACAACAACTGTCCAACACATTCCCAAGAACTCCTCTCAATAACTCCCTAACAAGCCCATGAACTCCCCATCCACCTACCCTACACCTCCCAACAACTGTCAAACCCTTCCCCAAGAACTCCTCAACAGCTGCCAACACCTCCCCAACAACTGCCCATCACTTTCCCTACACCTCCCAACTACTGTCAAACACCTCCACAACAGCTGCCCAACAATTCCCCTAAACCTCCACAACAACTGCCCATCATCTTCCCTACACCTCCCAACAACTGTAAAACACCTCCCCAAGAACTCCACAACAGCTGCCCAACAATTCCCCTAAACCTCCCCAACAACTGCCCATCATCTTCCCTACACCTCCCAACAATTGTAAAACACCTCCCCAAGAACTCCACAACAACTGTCCAACACATTCCCAAGAACTCCTCTCAATAACTCCCTAACAAGCCCATGAACTCCCCATCCACCTACCCTACACCTCCCAACAACTGTCAAACCCTTCCTCAAGAACTCCTCAACAGCTGCCAACACCTCCCCAACAACTGCCCATCACTTTCCCTACACCTCCCAACAACTGTCAAACACCTCCCCAACAACTGCCCAAGAACTCCACAACAGCTGCCCAACATCTCCCCAACAACTTCCCAACACCTCCCTAACAAATAACTTGTTAACTTGTAGATAGAAAAACAAAAGGGGTCCAAGTATGGATCCTTGCCAGACTCCATGTGATATATTTTTTTGAGAGAAGATCGAATGGTAACCCTCCAAAGACTCAAATTGAGTGATGTTGAGTGATTTTCTCGAAAACCAAACTGGCTATCTGATGTAATATTATACTCGTTTACAAGTTAAGTGGTACGACTGTAAATGATTCGCTCAAGAACATTGTTTAAAACTGAGATTGGTCTATAGTTGTTTACTGATTTCGAATCGCCACTCTTGAAAATAGGAGTAACTCTGGCAACCTTATTTTTTTCAGAAAATATTCATGTTGAGATCGAACAATTCAAAATTGTCCAAAACGTTGATTTTTTTTCAGAACCTCACATACTCACAAAAGACATTTTGCCACATGGTGCTACCCCAACAACTTATCTTATCTTATTACAGTTGGAAACCTGATTCCATTTCAGTTTTAGCTAAACTGCGTTTGAAAAGCACAAAGGTAATTATTTTAAAGTTCATTTTTTACCTTGATTAACACAAAGATCCTGCTGATCTTTGATATTGTGATAGGACGAGCTAGTCTTTATTGGCAGTTTCTTCTGCAGCTGTTTTGTCGTCTCTGCTGTCCGCAATCCTTATCTTTTTCTTACGATCGACAACCGGGTCTTCTGTTGGAGGGCCTTGAAGGCGTCTTGGATGTTGCCGTTCTTGCAAGCTACCATTACTTTGTCATAAGCCATTCCAAGTTTCCCTCCAAATGCAATTTGGGCCAACCTACCGGGCTTTGTCAGTTTCTTACTGACAAAGCTTCTAATTTGTTCTTGAATTCTTTAATAAGTGAATAAAATGCGTGCTTTGTCGGTTTTAAACACTCAGTTTCAGGCCGGTTGGAGTCTGGATGCTATAATTATCCGAGCAGAAGCCAAGGGTAATTATCAGCATCAATACTCCAACTGGTCGTAAACATAGTGTTTTATTATGTGCTTGGCTGGCCAAGCACATAATATTTATTCAAAACAAGTTCAAACATTACAAATGTCCAACGATTTGGTTCAACAATTTTACTTTACAAAAATTAACTCGCATCCATTCAAACTGCTGATGCAAATAATAAGTCCTCATTTCCTTCCCCTTTCAATCAATTTTAATTCACGTCGGCAATTTTCTTGTTATTTTCCACCAATTCCCTGAACTTTGCCTGCACGTACCGATTCTTTCTTGCATCAAACACTTCTCTCTCTCTCAAAAAGGCAAAAAAGGCAAAAGATTCTGACTTCCTGATGAATCTTAGGTCCGGCAGCCTCCGGTTAAACATTGTATTACAATGTACGTCACGTGACTAAAACGGGTGGAATTCGGCAAACTTCGAAGTTTGCCGAATTCGTTTCGTCGACAATCGGATAGCGCCCGAGTATTTCCGAGTATGATATTGGTTTATTACTTAACTGCTAATTGCTTATTATTATTTTTTATACAAATGAGTAGATAAATTAATATTCATTGCTTTCATTTAGAAAACTTGAAATTCAACGACGATTTTGTGCATCAAATATACTCGGATCGTATGGGCGAACTTTTGCTGCGTCATGTACAATTTTGAATTTGACGACCGTTACCGAGAGTTTCCAAAACTCGGTCTTCATTCGGCTATGTTAACAGTGCTATTTGGGTGCATGCCAATGGTCCAAAATTATTATTTTCATGTGGTTCAAGTTACTTTTTTTTCTTTTTGTGGGGGGGGGGGGGGGGGGCTGCTTCAAATATAGTTCTTTTCTTTGGATTTCATTTTTAACACCAGTCACTCTTCCAACTCCAATCTTCCCAGATATTTACACTTCCCTAACAAAGCTTTGAAGTGAATTTCTGAAGCTTTGAATTGAATTTCAATTACTGTAACATGATATTGATAATCTCTTTAGCCTAATCAGCTAATCGGCTAAACGGCACCGAATTATTCGTTTAATATGCAGAAGAGTTGCTCAGGCTTAAATGTTTGATCCTCTTTTGATGATATTTCGTAGTACAACTTAACAAGGAAATACAGACATGGATAGCGCCCAAGTATCTGACACAACTAGAGATTCACGTTTGTCAAGTTAAAAACGCAGGGTGATTTGGCAGGGCACTATTTCATTGGACATTTCCCAGTTGAATTGTGATTATATAACTGACATACAGATCCTAGTCATTTGATTGGTGGAACTCACATCACATGGCATTCGTTATTGCTCCCATTCACGCCGCGGCTCAAAAAGTACTATCCGCCCATGGGGAATGGGAAATACTATTCAACAGTTAGGATCATGACGCGGTATTTGCGTGCAAATGCATGCTGGTGTGCGCGTTCAGCGTTGCGCGTAGCGCGTATTGTTCCAAAGAGCCAGCGCTACAGCGTTAGGTTCAAACATTTTCGTGATGGGGTGGTTTGGAAGAGAGAGATAGATTTTCCTTCAGTTTGTATTGAAAAAAAAAAAGGTTCAAATATATCAAATGACAAAGATCTATATGTCAGTTATATAAAACAAATATTGAGTGGCTTTAAATTGTGAAATGGGAGGAATATTATCGCTCGGTAAAATCTGGACTTTTCCAGTTCACTCGGCTTCGCCTCGTGAACTGGAAAAGTCCAGATTTTACCTCGCGATAATATTCCTCCCATTCCACGCTGAGCCACTCAATATTTGTATAATATTTTCATGTCTGGAAAAAAAAATTCACGCAAATTCAGCCGTTTTCCAGTATAACCATTTGGTTTAATTTGAAGAAAAAAAAGAGTTAACATGTGCAAATACACAATTGCATGATTTAGTTTCTTAGAGGATACATAATCTTGAGGTTTCTGAGAGGATACATAATCTTGAAGTGAATTGCACTGATTGCACTTCCAGTAACACCGCAAGTAAAGGTTGTTACAACTGATAATGTAGTAACCAACGGATAACGTATCACCAACCGATAATGTATCACAAATTGACCGATATTGTATCACTAACCGATAATGTATTAAAAATTGACTGATAGTGTAGTAAAATTTGTATCCGATAATGTATCACGTGTCGACAGATAAAGTAACTACAAAATAACTGTATCCGATAATGTATCACCACGGAACGGATACCGTATCAACCGATAATGTATGAAAAATCAACCGATAATGTATCAGTATTGGGAAAACTAAAGGTGGAAATATTGCAAATTAATTAAAGTCTAATAAGTGCCTTTACTATGATGAATCCCCACTCGGGAAAGTTTATCGTTAAGAATATTTTTTTTTTTGAATTTGGGAGGTAGGGAGTTGCTCTGGTTTGAAGACGATCTACTTCCAAGTGGGCCTAGGCTAGTGGCGTATCCAGCTTTTGATGTTAAGGGGGGGGGGGGGGGGGTAACCGCACTCGCACATCCGCGCCGACACTTGGCCTCCGTACTATGGGTTCCGTGCTCCACTTTTGAGAGCCCCATGGACGTACGGGACATTGATCTCAGATCAATGGACGGGACACAGCATGTGCGCGTACTGTACTGTACTGGTTCGCGCGCAAAGTTCCACACCACTTTCAGAATGTGCCGAGGCTATTAGCCGCAGCGTCTTCGCATGAGCGTCAGGCAACGTCGGCGTGCGCATACGTTCACTTTAACTTGCGATGGTCTCCCAGACTATTCCCTCCCCCAATAACTTTGCATCATTCAAAATACGCAGTGGATGAACCGGGAACACATACGAGTGGCGAGGCATGTGTATAGCAAAACTACCATCTGAAATGATCGTGTAACTTGAGCTGTCGCAAAAGATACAATGCAACAAGTTTAACAATTCTTTGGGATTTAGGCGGCAATCGTCCTTTAAGGGAAGATAGTCTAGATGCGATCAAGCTGCACGAGTCCCTTGTCGACCCCAGTCGATTTTTTTTCTTACAGATTTGAAAAGGGCACAATCACAGCATTACTGCTCATTTAGTGGGGGAGGGGGGGGGGGGGAAGGGAATCCTACAATCATGTACACTATATTACTGTACCGTACAAACGCCCCGGCTTTTTTTAAGGGGGGGGGGGGGGGCACCGTTCGCATGTGACGTCATTTGTTATTTGTCTACCCACTGACTTCAGTTTGTTCAACCCACACATTTTGGAGTCCAAACGTCACGTTTCGAGCCTGCCGTTTCCTTGAGGCAAACAAAGGCGCTGATCAAGGAGGAGGGGGGGGGGGCAAACCCCTGTGTCCCCCCCCCCAAAAAAAAATTCATACAAATTCCTAAAAAAATAATGCGAACCCCCCCCTCCGACACCCAAACAGAATATACTGGTATAATGTCCGCCTGTTCAAAATATGGACGGAGGCAGCTTAGATAGGGGGTATTTGCACACCATTCTGTAATCCAGTGTTAATAATCGTCGAATTTGAACAGCGCCCCCATATTGAAATATGGTACCCCCTTCCCCAATTTTTTTTATTTTACGGAGGCCAAGTGTCCGGAGAAAAAAACCTGTGTACATTTTCAACTTTTTTTGGCCGATGAAACCCCCCCCCCCGATCCGCCCCTGCAACAGTAGCGTAAATTTTTGCCGGGGACTTCGGGATGGGGATAGCTATAAAAAAAAAAAAATCCCGGCCGTGAAATACAAAAAGAGGGGGGGGGGGGGGGGGGGGGGGGGCCTTGCTGGAGACCACGTGACACTGGGGGCGCTGTTCATGATACAGACGTATCAGCGCCTTTCAAGCTTTTTGTACTTTTTCTCCTTTTCTCAGTACTATTTAATACATTTCGGCGGTTGGAAAGTTTTAAAAATACCTCAAAATCTGTTCCCCCCCCCCTCTAAATACGAAATAATGGGGGTGGGGGGTGATCCAATAGCCCAGACCCCCCTCCCCGGTCAAAAAGTGGGGTGGGATATTCGGACATAAAACAAAAATTATCGGTTGATTTTTGATACTTTATCGGTTGATACAGTATCCGTTCCGTGGTGATACATTATCGGATACAGTTATTTTGTAGTTACATTATCCGTCGACACGTGATACATTATCGGATACAAATTTTACTACACTATCAGTCAATTTTTAGTACATTATCGGTTAGTGGTACAATATCGGTTGGTGATACGTTATCCGTTGGTTACTACATTATCAGTTGTAACTGGTCAAACAGCTTTGTGCCCGAGAATCCAAAATATTGCCCCAGGCAATGTCTAACTGATCACAAAGATTAAGAAATGGTACTCCATTTATTTGAAAAGTTATGATTCTAAGTATATTATCACATTCTGACCTCAAATCCTTTGTAATTTGATACCTGAATTTTGATATCTTCGTACCAGGTTTTATTATTATCCTGGGAATCGTTTTGAGGCTTCTGTCTGTATTTTAAATTCACCTAACTTTGACCTTCCAGTGGACCCGGAAGTAAAGGTCAAGCGATTTTACGTGCGGAACAAAAAATGTTTATCAATTAATGGTCTATAGAACATGATTAATCATTTTGTTAAAGGGTTACAAGTGAAAGAAATTGGTCACTTTTTGAACTAAAATCGCCTGTAAGTTTATACCTAATGACGTCATCGAGACCGAAATATAGATGACACAAGTGTAAACTTTTTAGTTATTTTGTGCCTGCAGAAATTTTAATAATTTTTCGGTAGTTTTTTTTTATAGTATATTTGTAGATCTTCAATCTCTAAGAAATGTACAAGCAAATACACCCCACTACAAGAAATGATGATTCTTTCAAGGCACGGAGGCAAATTCCTCTCTCAATTCAACTACACACTTAGAAGAATAGAATATTTACATTCCCTGGTGGTACTTATTCCAATATCTCATAAATCTAACAAATGATACCACTGAAGCTAAATCCACCAACCAAATTTATTACCCTAAATGTGAAATCATGTGACACCGGATCTATTCCTAAATATTCCTTAATGTTAATATTACAATATTACTAAAACAAAGGTAGAATAGAATGCTTGAACAACTTCAACAAAATATTTTGATTTTTGATACAAACATCTGCACATTTGTTACCTTTATAAAAATAACTCTTTCTGAGCAAGGGAATTCATACAAAACAATGCTTTCTGTCACCCTCAGCAGTTAAGATACCAAACAGTGCTGTTATAGATGTTAGGCCCCAACTATCGCATCGGTCCCAACTATAGTGCGGCAGTTGGGTCGGCCCAACTATAGTAAGGACTGGAGTTGGGCCGGACGCTCAATACAGGATGTTAATGTTCCGCGACGCGCTGGCACCATGCATGTATTCGTCTTGCATGCATGCCGCGCTGCAGGGCTGACCGGCCACGTGGTACTGCCTAGTTGGATGAATTTTCCAGCTGTGTTTCATAGTCCAGCAACATTTTTTTTTTCTGCAAAATTCAAATATTGGCGTGGCCCAACTATAGATAGGCCCCACCCATAGCTAATTTCATTGGTCCCAAGTAAAGTCAGATGTATATCAGAGCTGTAGGGAATGTTTTATAGTCATACAGCAACGTAAACTATAATTGGCACCGCAAAATAAAAAGATTGCCATGGCCCAACTATAGATGGGCCCCACCTATAGCTAATTTCATTTGTCCCAAGTAAAGTCAGACGTGTGATCTGTAGGCCATGATGTTTGCATAGTTACACAGCAACGTAAACTATAGTAAGGACCACACAATTCAAAGATTGGAATGGCCCAATTATAGATGGGCCCCACCAGAAATATTATAAATAAAAGAAGAAAAATAGAAACCATCTTGATTTTTGATGCGGATCGATCAGCAGCAAAAATCAAAACAGTTCGATTGAATTAATACATGTACAAAGCATTCATATCCAATTGTGACTTAGATAATTAACAACGATGTGAAAAATATATTAACAAAAAAATAACGGAGAAAGAAATTTGACATTGGGAGACGGTTTATTGGGGGGGGGGTGCAAAAGCTCATTAATATTCGATCCCAATCCCCTGGTTGCCGTGTGACGTGTGCTGAACTGAGTTTAAACGTGTTTCCTTGTTCTGGGAGTTCAACTGTGTAGTCATTTTCCATGGAGGAATCTCCATGGTAGTTTATAATAAAATCAGGTATTGTCCAGCGGAAAAAACTAAACGCCTGCACATCTATCCTTCGGGCATTCGCCAGACTCCTACATAATGCGCTTGTTGTTGCCAAACTCCTTCATAATGCGCTTGTTGTCGCAGCACGCAGCTAGCTGGACCCCTTGACTCCCAACTATAGTTAGGCCAGCCCAACTGTGGAACTACAGTTGGGACCGTCCTAACTATAGTTAGGACGATCCCAACTATAGTTGGGACCGATACCATAGTTAGGGCGTAACATAGACACTTTCTGTATTGCACACACGCTCAGGTGTGTTTTCCTCCCATAAGCCCCTGTCACACTTTCGCGTATCCTAATTCCTTATGAGTTCCTTATCAACATTTTTCAATACGCAGCCGTACGCTCAAAAGTCGAAATTTTTTGAATACTTTGACTTATGTACAACGCACATCTAGCGTACAAGTAACGAATTCAGTGCATCCATTGCGTATGAGATGCGTATGAGATGCGTATGCAGTGCACAACATTATTTTTCGGGCTGCGAATGCAGTATGCAGTGCGTATGCTGAGCGTATTCCAGACGCACCCGACTTATGCCGACCGCATGCCTGACGCAATACGTCAGCATACACTATGAGCTCGTTCAGCGTGCGTTGTATCTGTGCTGCAAGTACGCTATGTATACGTCCAATATAGGTGGCTCATATGCTGATGGGGTGCGTGCCGGGAGGTCAGCGTATTACTGCGTATGAACCGCTAATCCCCCACGAACACATAGCGTACTCGTACCGTGCTCGACTGATGCGGGACCGATGCTCTGCGTATTTATAACTTATGACCTGTGTAATAGCGTACGCAGCGTAGTTTTGTGCATGCCCAAAACTATCCGGCGTACTGGGCCGTACCATGCGTATGCCTGCGTACATAAAACTTACACAAAACGATAGAGATGCATATGAGGTGGGTATTGTGCGTACGACTGCGTATGAAAAAATGCCAATGCGCAACTCATAAGGAATTAGGATACACAGAAGTGTGACAGGGCCCATAGTGGCATTCTAAGTGAAAATAGATCAAGCACACTTACATGCACAAGCTTGTACGTGTAAACATGATTATCTATCCAGGTCTTATGAGTACTGGTAGGCCCCTCAGAACCACTTACAGATTCCGTAGAATGTGTCTGGGCATAGACTCCATGCAGGACAGAAAACGAGAGAATCCCACACATACATGTACTTTACAAGGCCAAAGGCCTTGGAAAATAGGACAAACAGGCCAATTTCGTGGTGCTGCTTATGAATAAAAATAAAAGCACAACATTTCATTAGCAATATCAGGTAACCAACCAAAATACAACTGCTTTTGTACTTAAAATTGTGTCTGGTTCACCGCTTCTTTTTTGCTTAGCCAGTAAACTTTGCCTAGCATTGTTTTCCGTGCAGCAGCTCTGTGAAATTTTGCCAAAGAGACAGTTTTGTTAAACATTTGGAAAATATGTTTGAGTGAAAGTACACTTTATATCAAATCTAACCCACTTCCTTTCATTAACAAAGCGTACATTTTAAAAACCATCATTTCAATTCCCTCCTAATGGATCTGACACACTTTGATCATTTACCACGGATACTTTCTAAAAGGCAAATCCTCTACAGGGATGCTGTGGAGCCTGTGGTCCCTTTGATATCAGGTTATTAAGATCTTCACACCTCACCTAAAGCTAACGTGAATGCAAACTCTGGCAATCATAATGCATAGTTTACAAGAACACAAGTAAAACCTGTCTAACCAAGCCTTTGTGCACTGTACTAACAAAACCAATTAAAACCGTAGACTTGCAGCCACCATTCTTGCATCATGACACTTTAAAGTCATTAAACTTACAAGGGAAACTTACAAGGGAAACTGTACTTTTGCTTACAATTCTTATGTCTCACATGCTTGTTCTCAATTACAGTTCTTCCTTGGCTTCTTTCTTGGTCTTGTTTATCTTTTTATTACTGTCCTTTGTTTTACTTCCAGCAACCTTTGCACAGTGGCGTCCTTTCTCGTAACACAGGAAATTCTGCAGCTTGTTTTCCTTGTAGGCGTTATAAATGTTTTCCTCTTCTAAATCACCGGCATACTGGTTGCACACTTCTCTCATTCTGAATAAAAACACATTGCAATAAAAGAACACAAAACATACAATGAATATTAGTCTGTTTTGATAGCAATTCTGCGCAGCCTATCAAAATCAGCATCACAGATACAAATTCAATACCAGAAGCTGCCGATAATTGGCTGTTTCGGCATTTTGCCGAAACAGCCTTTGTTCGCCACTAGAGCTCATGCTTGCCATCTGAAATTTATTGCCAAACAGAAAATCAAGTGCAGTTTGTGAAGAAACAATTGAAATGCCAGCCTAAGAAATCATGCACTACATGTGTGCAATGTACCTATGTAGTGTAACCTTCATACAATGCCTGGATGTATTGCTTTCCCTTGCGGTTTTACCGACTCACGCAGTCCGCACTGGACAAAGTCAGCCGGTACAAGTAACCACTGGACTTAGGAAAAGTAACAGAGCAGAAAGTTGCTAGGATTTTTGCACTGGACTTAAAATGGCAAAAGTACTTATCGTTCAATGTGGACACAGCTTTAGAGTCCAGTGCAAAGGTTGCACTCACCTGCCAGGCCATTTGCCACCTCCTTGCATGATTCCAGGGACATCCTTTGTGCTCAGTCCTGGTCCTGACAATCGTTTTACTCCCTTTATTTCTTTGATTCCAACTCTGTCAAAAAAAAAAAAAAACAAGAAAATAAGAACAATACTGTTGACTCCACAGTCATTTAGGAGATTTTGTGGGAACTAAACATTATATTATTTTTGTCTAATATACACCAAGGCTATGGTTGCTGGCAGTGCAGCCAGTTTGAGGTCATGTCCAAATTATATGGCTATGGCAACATCTACAGCGGCGACATTACAAATATTCAGCCGTGTGGTTGCAAAGGCCTAAGCGTCCCAGTTGTTAAACAAAGTTAATCCGATTACGTACTTAGACGCTATAACAGAGCAGTGAAATTCATGCACCCAAAAAAAACATGGCCTTTTGAACGTTGTGTTTCTCAGAAAATATGCTCAGTATGATTGAAACGTTAAATTATGACGGAAGAAGAAATTCTAAACTTCATGTCAGTGAAAAAATCACCGTCATCTATGCCGAAACGTCAATACTGGTTACTGGTAAAGCTGACCTTAAAGTCGGGAAGAGATCGTTCGAAAACGTCCCCAAATCTATGTTTTTATCTCAATTTCTAGGAGTCTCCTCAAGTTGTTATTTCACAAGTAGTTGAACACTTATATCATCGAAATGTATTCCGAATTTCAGCTTAATCTGTTGTTGCAAATGCTTGAGGTACACCTTAAACTATCTCCAAGCAAAATGTTGACGAGGGTTTTTTGCCTACCAAACTCACGTACATGGTTTTCAGGTTGGCTTGCATGCTTGGTTGATTTGGGGGCAGCAATGACGTAGCGCATATTAGCATATTCATAAGCGTCACTCAGCGTGACTTCACGTGGGTCTCGGTATCGACCAGTGGAAGCCAGCAAAAAGGGTGATAATGGTATTTGTTAATAAATAACTCGTGAAGGAGGCTACTCTGCAAATTTTTACTGCACATCATAATGGATAGGAACCTTATTAATATTCGTGAGGCTTGAAAAGATTGACAGATATTGCAAACACCAGCGTTGAAATTTTTACTGCACACCATAATGGATAGGAACCTTATTAATATTCGTGGGGCTTGAAAAGATTGACAGATATTGCAAACACCAGCGTTGAAATTTTAAAAAATGCACGTAACCAGGCCTATTGTTCCAATTACAACGAAAAGCAATGAACATATCAAAACGATTTTTAGCACATACCGGTAGTTGGATCATTATAAGGGAAACAAACCCTGAAAGTTGCATGAAGATAAGGTTTTCCAAACGGGAGAAATTGATTTTCAAAGATTTCACCCGCGAACATCTGTGTCTGTGTGCATGTTCCTTCATTCAAAATAAAGTACACCACACGGCTGTATTAAGCTACACACAAGCGTGACCTCCTTCTAGATAGTTGTGCGTGGTTTTAAAAAAATGGGGGCTGATACTCGAAACATTGAAGCTTGTAAACTCAACATTTTAATGAAGAAGACTTGTAAAGCCCTTCACAGTTGGGCGCTCATGGCGCTTGCCATAACATGTCCAACCCTAACCAGCAACTATACAGAGCATTATAAAGTCAGTAATGAGTTCACAATTATGTTGGTGTTGCCCCTGAGAAAAAAATAGGTCTTCAGAGCCGATTTAAAGCAACAACTTGTTGAAGCAATTCAACGGATTATTGCAACCTATTCTACAGCTTTGCTCCCGATGACTGGAAAGATCTGTGTGCCCATGAAGTACGCACCAATGATTCCATAAGTCATTCTCGATCAGCAGATCGAAGACACAAACGTACTGGCTTGTATCAGTGGAGGAGTTCAGATATAGTGAGGTGCTGCATCATGAAGTGATTTTAAAACCATACGTCCAGTCTTATACAAAATCCTCTAATTAACTGGAAGCCAATAAAACTTCCTTTAGGATTAACATGGGAGCCCTTACAAAAAGATTGATTATTCTCGCTGCCATGTTTTTGAATTGCTGAAGTCTGGCAAGTTCTACTTGTGCATTACTCAGATTCACCAAGAGGGAGTTGCACATATCAACGTGTGATGTCACAAATGCATGAATGAGAAGCTCAGCAACAGGTCTGTTAAGGTTCTTGCGAATTCTTCCAATGTTCCTGATTGATAAACAAGCAGCCTTTGATGCAGAAGCAATGTGCTGATCCACAGTTAGGGAGAATCAAATACGACACCCAGTTTTCTAACATCAGCAGATGGGGTAATGTCAATAACTTGAGCTTTACACAGACAGATTGGCCTTTCAATCAACACAATAATATCAATGTACCGGTATCTTGGAAAGAAGTGCATGGCTTGCTACATTTATTTACTTGCTAATTACATATGTGGGGCCTATTAGGTATTAAAGTCCAACAGTACACCCATTGTAACAAACTGATGAGGGAGGCACAACATGGCAATGATGTTGTTTAAAGACCAGTCATTTTGATGTAGCAAACTTTCACTGATTTTGAACTTTAATTGAAGCTTATATGTATTCAAAATAACCTATAATGACAAAACTAAACTAGAGATTCGCGTTTGTTGTTACAAACGTAGAGTGGTCGGGTAGACAACTTTATTATGAAACACTGTCCAGTTAAGTTATGAGTATTTCTATGTACGAACAAAATATCACGAAATTAAATCCTTCCAGGATAGTCAATTAATTTGTTAAAAAAAAATGCATCTTTAACGGTGTGATAAATTTCAGTAAACATTGTATGTACACAAACAAGTTATTTCTGGCTTGATAACATCATTAGTAAAAAACAGGAAGTGAATACTGATTGAGTTCGGAGTGGATGTTCATTGTGAAGTTTAAATAACGTATGAAAATTTGGAAAATATAAATGTATGTATTCAAAACACCGAACTTCCGGTTTGATGACGTCACAGTATTTGGAAGCAAAGGTCAACATTGTCATGGATATCATTATTTGGGCTACAAAGATATTCGTATATCTTCGTAGCCCAAAGAAGGATCAAAAGATACAATTAAATTTAATTTATTATCGTTTCCAAATTCTCCTTAAAGTAACTTCCAGTCTGATGACGTCATGAATTTGAAACCTTGTCAAGTTATCTGTGTTTAATCAAAGAATATCAAGGGGCGATTTGGTAAAATTTGAACCTATGGTTTTAAAATGAAAGAAAAGAAACACTACATGTATTTTATGTGCCGATAGGGGGCGCCCTTTCAGATGATAACATCTGGCATTCCTCACTAAACACTTTTCATAATATATTTGTCTGTAGTAAAATGCTTCCGCTTTTGAGTTATATTCAGTGTTTCCAGAAGTAAAGTTCAAGTGGTTTTGTGTCCGGAAACATAAAATGTTTTTCACGGCATAGTCTACAACCTCACGAAAAAAACGAACACAATACTCTATTTAGTTTAAAAGATATAACATAAACTATTTTGTCAAAATTTGCCCTTAAATTGCTTGTCAGTTGATACCTGATGACGTCATGATGACGTCAGTGAATTCTGATAAAGTTCGGAGAGGATAATTTTTCATTGTAAAGTTAAAATAATGTATGAAAATATGGGAAATATAATTGTTTGTATTAATAACACCTAACTTCAGGTTTGATGATGTATCGATAACACCTAACTTCCGGTTTGATGACGTCACAGCGTTACAGATCCAAAGGTGAACATTGTAATGGATATCATTTTTTTTTTGCGTCTTGCATTCCTCACTAAACACTTTCATAATATATATGTCTGTAGTAAAATGCTTCCGCTTTTGAGTTATATTCAGTTTTTATTGCACATCCGGTAACACCGGAAGTAAAGGTCAAGCGGTTTTGGGTCCGGGAACACGAAATGTTTCTCACGGCATAGTCTACAACCTCACGAAAAAACGAACACGATACTCTATTTAGTTCAAAAGATATAACGCAAACTATTTTGTCAAAATTTGCCCTTAAATCACTTGTAATTTGATACCTGATGACGTCATGAAGACGTAACAACATTTATAACATCTTCGTAACATGGTACAAATTAACACAAGGTTTTGTGATCATACCGTGAACCGTTCGGAAGAAATGTTGCTTTGTTTTGATGTCAGGCTAACGTCTTCATTTTGAATTCACCTAACTTTGACCTTCCGGTAGACCCGGAAGTAAAGGTCAAGCGAGTTTACGTACACGACAAAAACTGTTAAGCGAATAATGGTCTATCTGATTACAGAATACAAACATCATTGAATGTTTAGTTCAAGAGTTATAGGTGAAAGTAATTGGTCACTTTTTCAGATAAAATCACTTGTAATTTGACACCTGATGACGTAATCATGACGTCAGGGTAACATGCACCACTTCGGATGAGGGTCGATATATATTGAAAGTTACAAGTTCATACCATATACCGTTTAAGAGAAAACCTGCGGAGAAGTATTGTCCGGAAAAAAGAAAGAAAGAAAGAAAGATTAATCGTAACAGATCCAAAGAGTGGTCAGGTTGTGCCCGACCACTCAAAGATTTATGAGAACGAATCCAGACAGTGGTCGGGTTGTGCCCGACCACTCAATAACTTACGAATAAAAACTTACTCCCTAAAATTTTGTTAATAATAAATAAGAATAATCTAAGAACTTAGCAAGAATGAATCACTAATAAAACTGAATTGTCCAGATTTTCCAAAGAATTTTTAAAGGATAACCAATAATCAAACAGAATTTAATACTAATTGATCCAGAATAGTTCCAAATGATGTGGAGATCTACGCTGCTTGGCAAACTGGAACTGACTGACAATGAGCGCTTGTCTGGATCGGTTTATATACTGGGATCGCCTGGATTTGGCCTCGTTCTGGATGATTCTGGCTTGTTTTGATTGTAATCTGCTAATGCTAGGTGCACATATTTTTAAGCCGAATCGCCATGAATAGCCATTCTTGAGTAAATCGGGGATGGTTCTTGGCTGCCTCAGGATGATTCTGTTAGTTCGGTGAAAGATCGTTAAAGATTGGGGAGCGCCCCGACAAATTTGAACATGTTCGAAATTGTCGGGGCGATTCAGGAACCAACTTCACTTCTTGGTTTATTCTTGTTGTACTCATAACTTATTCGGGAATGTGTGAACCTAGCGTTAGTTCAGGGTTGTTCAGGGTTTTTTGGGAATGTTCAAAGTACATTCGGCTTATTCGGTCTTTGTTCTTATTAAATTCCTAATGACATCGACATAATTCACAGTCATTCCGTATGATTCTGGAGTGATTCGTATATATTATTCTTGACAAAATCGCAACAATTCGGTTTTATTCTGCACTAAATTGCAATCATTCGGCTTGATTCGGTCTGATTCGGCTTTCAATTCATACCTAGTTCTTGATTATTTCTAATTCATTCTTAAGTTATTCTTACAAACAGCGAATCGGGGCTAATTTGTCCCGATGCCATCAAGAATTTTTATTCGGGGTATTTGTGGCCATCAATTTGGGAATGTGTGAACCTAGTATTAGAGAGCGAAATAGAACTGCTGTGTTTGTCTTCAAATTCGTAAGAAATTGAAGTTTGGTATGTGAATTCTGACCACAGTCAGAACGGTGCCAAGAAACGTTAACTGGCAGCAAGAAAACATCACATTGTAGCTATTTATTGAATACTCTAACACCGTCCATGGAGAGAAGTTACAAGTAGGATGACAAAGGTGTTGTCGCTTAAAGAATTAGTTAAATTTTTGTATACTCGAAAGTTCCAAGAAAAAGTAACACATGCACACATCTTTTTAAAAATATATTTCCAAAAGCATTTTGGACAACAGCTGTGCCG